AATTGGTTCTAAAGCGCACTCCTTTTCCAGTCTCTGCATTACATGTACTATTATAGATTCAGTTTGTTAGAAGTTTAATGTTTACTTTAAAAAGTGTGAGGCTTATTAGCATGTTAATGAATAACATGTAATATCTGTTAAGAATATTTCCATATTTTCCTATAAAGTGAAATAGAAAATATTATGTACAAGAGAGTCCATGCCATTACTACATTCTGGTTGTAACTGAAGTCTCTAGTTTTCATTTCACTGCTAGAAAAGAACTGATAAATTTGTCATAAATGAAATGGGAGTCAGAGGAAAGAGTCCATAGATGGCCTCAGAGATATATCTAAACCCCTGTGGTCCAGACCCAAAAGAATTGGGGACCAACACAATAGAGGTGTCATTTAGCTACACAGTATCACAGCTAATTAAATTTAGGTCTTTGCTTTCCTTTATCCTTCTGCTATTTCCACTATGGTTTTGACAGCACATGCTTCAGTTGGCCTAATGTCAGACCCAGTAGAAGTGAGAAGGAATTGCAACTTACTTTAAAAAGGTATATGGCAAGAATATAATCTCCCTTTTATTACACAGTGAAATAAATATAAAAATATGTAAAAATGTTTTTGTAAATATTTGAGAAAATATAATAATGGTTTTTATTTGAACATTTTATTGTGATACAGTATTGTTTTATTACATTGTCACCTTATGTCTATTAAAAATGAGGTTCTGGAATGCTGTTCTGGCATATGTCATTTTAAGATAGAGGCTCTAGAACAGTTTACCAGTGTATCCCCTAAAATGCAAAAACACAAAATAGCCTTATAGTAATAAAAAAGCATTTATTGTCTGTTTGCTTGTAAAACTGCACTGTCAGCATATGGTATTTCCATTAGCTCCATTTTGCAGAGCTGTTAAAGGGAAGAAAAAAAATATATATATATATATAACCTTTAATTTGTTATTGAATTTAGTATAAACTCCTTTGAGCCAGGCAGAACTGGATTACAGTTCAAGCTCCACCATTTTATCGCAATGTAGACTTTCACACATTTAATATCTTTGAGTCTGTCCGTCTGACTTTAAATAATTGAAATTAGTAATATTCTCCTATTGGCAGTTTTTGTGAACATTATAAATTACATGTTAAAAGTACTCAATACAATTTTGGGAACTTAATAAAACTTCCAATCAATAGTGTTGATTTTTATGATACTGGTAATTTATTTACTTATTTTTTCATTGACACATATTAATTGCACCTATCTGTGGGGTACAGAGTTATATTTCAATACCTGTATACAGTGTGTGATGACCAAATCACACTGGTATACAGGTATTGGTAATTTAAAGGGATGGTAATTTAAAGGGATGTTTTCAGCCACAGTATACATACCAGTGTCCCTTTTGTTCTTGAAATTAAGGAAACCCTTTCCTGTCCCAGGACCTTTGCATTTGCTACCCACTCTCTGTATAATACTTTTCCCTTAGCTCTTGCAGTGACTGGCTCATTTCCATCCTTTAGATTTCATTTGCATCCTTTAGGCACAAATGTTACTTCTTTATGGGGACTTAACCTGACCAGCTTGTCTAAGGTAAACCTCCAACATCACTCCCAGTCATGGTCCCTGTGTATCTTCTTTATTTCTGTCTTTGTCTTCTCCTTTGGAATATAAGCTCCAAAAAATGGCGAGAGACCTTTGTTGATAATTGTGTATCCAATGTCTAGCACAGTGCCTGCCTCAATAAATATGAATGAATGGATGAATTAATTAAGTGAATAAATGAGTGGAAAGGAGGGAGGAGAAAGAAAACAAGGAAGCAAGGAAGGAAAGAAAGACATTTGAAGGAAAAGAAGAATGATGGATAAAAGGAATAAAGGACAAAAGGAAGAAGCTTCTATTGCCTGAGGAATGGTTTATATTCTGGGTGTACCTGTATGTATTTATGCATACGCAACTTTTAAATTTTGTTTTAAAATGTAAAAGTTGGGTAAAAATTGTGTGGTTCCTATTAT